TAAAAATGTAAAAGACTTAAATAAAAAATCTCTCAATAAACGAGTTTTATGTGTTTTCTTATCAAAGTGCATTTAAATTTTATTTTAAAAAATTGAAAGGAGTTAATTGCTCTGTTAATTTTCTCATCACTCTCCACCTCCATTATATTATCCATACAATTTTTTTTCTATCTAAACTAATAACTTATAGCCATAGTATAAATAAACATAAAAATTCAGAGCATATCTCATTAATTTATCGAGTTATCATTTCTTAAAAGTATTATATAAGTTAAAAAAACAAGTGCGTTTAAACTTTCTGTACAAGGTATATATATATATATATATATATATATATATATATATATATATATATATATATATATATATATATATATATATATATATATATATATATATATATATATATATATATATATATATATATATATAAATATATATATATATATATATATGTATATATATATATATATATATATATATATATATATATATATATATATATATATATATATATATATATATATATATATATATATATATATATACTTTTATTTACATAGAGAATCTTTTCATGGGACTATAAATTTCATGCCTATACGGCAATCATCAGCCATGTACTATATCAAAAACAAACAAAAAACCGTTAATAAAATTACAAAATACAGTGGAGCGACATCTGACATCTTTATAGAGACAAAACAAGATAATCTCAAAGAAAATTGTATATGAATCAGCTATTCGCTTGTACCATAAAACGAAAGAAGAAATTTATTTTTATGCCTACAATTTGAAACTAACTCGTTCCTTTTGTTCAACTGATTTCCCCCTGTCATTAAAATATAAAATTTAAACTTTTCTTAAAATATAAAACTTTTCATTAAGACAAAGCAAATTAAATTTTTTATAACTTTTACTTTCATTCACTTATTCACTTATTAAATTTTGACAGATTGTATTAACAAAGTTATTTTAGGAAGAAAATAAAAAAAACTGGAGCTTTTCTTAATTTCAAAAAGAACATACGATTTATTTGTACCAAAAAAATTAAAAAAAAAAAAAATTGAAATTGCTTTTTTATAAGCTATTATGATAAAATTCTCAGAAAAAGCTTGAGCTTTAGTTATTCAATCCATTTTTTTCATAGATTTAGTATCTGAATTAACAAAATATATGCTAAATCAAGCAAAAATCCATGAAGAAAACAGGAAGACTATTTGTTTCTTGTGTCTTGGCAAGGCTAGTCATTTTTTAACCAGCTTCATGACAGAAAAAATGCAACAAATTCTGAAGCAGCCAATTGACTTTATTGATCCAAAAGTCCCAACTGGCATTTGTGAGCGTTGCCGCTCCAACCTTAGGAGGCTTGAGGAAGGGAAGCTTCGAACCCAACTACAGCTGTTTGACTTCTCCAATATCCATCCGGTTACAAGAGTTTCAGTTTGTGATTGTTTGATTTGCTAAGTTGGCAAAGCATGGCACAATTCTCCACATCCAATCTTGGCAACCCAGAAACCTAAAGCAAATCATAACTCAGTTGAAGGAAGATGTTCTCAATGCTTTTCAATAGTTGGCAAGAGCCTTTAACACAGTTGCTCAAAATCCACTTTGCAAAAGAATTTAGCAGAAGTTTTGTCAATGGACTCTTGTTGCAGCTGAAAGAGTTGCAGCATCAGTCATTGTCAACAAGGAAGCTTCACCCCATGGAACAGTTTGTCTTAGTAGACCAGAGGGAATAGGAGGCCACTCTAATCCAGTTCTTCCAGGTAACATTGTATTAGATATTCAAAGTTTTAGCTTCATATTTTAAGTCTATGTAATGCATAATAATGTAAAATCTTTCTTAATTATTTCAAAGGTTTATCTTTAAAAGCAAATTTTCAATAAAGAACCAGAACTGACAGCAAAAGATCTTGTTTATGTGCAACTTAACACAGGGATGTCTAATTCTGGTGTGAAAAGGCTGGTGTCAACACTAAATCAAGTTGTTTCAAGTCAGATTGTAGAAAAGAACTTTCTCTCCAAATTTGACCAGTTGAGCAAAAAACTTGAAAGTCATTTTACTAAAACTTGGATCAAAGTTGCAACTGATAAGGGCAAAAATCAAGTGGATAAACTTGTCATTCACTGCAAAGACTTGAAAGTTCTTTGTCAGCAAGTTCTTGAAACTAGAAACCTCTCTGATGACTACATTATAAAGCTGGGAGTAGATGGTGGTGGTGATTTTCTAAAAGTAAGCTTTTGAATGGAAAAAGTTTCAGTTTTACAATCTCCGCCATCAAAATGACTCACCAATTCTCTGGCCAAAGATTCTGGCTCCTGAAATACTGTTTCTACTCAGAATAATAGACCTTTGCCTGCATGGATGCTGAGATGTTAGTGTTAAGTAACTTGAACCAATCACTATACCCTGAAATCAGTATTTCTTTTTTTTCATTATTGCTTTTATATCGCATCTATTCCATTTCAGGTAACAGATATTGAAAAATTCATTTGGTTCGACTGGTGTTTCTGTTTTAAGGGTACAATGTGTTAAACATCAGAAGTTAAGTTATTTTGATTTGTTTTTAACTTCTTTTTCCATTATTTTTATTGAGTTTGAAGTTTTCCATTATTTTTATTGAGTTTGAATTTTAAAAATCTAATACATTCTATCTATCATTGCAAGGTTTTAACTCACAGCATGAAAGCTGAAAAACAGATTTTTGCTTCAATAAATCTAAAAATGAATCTTTAACAAGTAAATGTTAAAGCAGTAAGTTTATACTTATAGATTAGATGATGCAGTAATAACAGTTACATATTTATTTTCTAGGACATATGGCTTCTCTATTTAAAATGATTGTGCTATGGTAACATGTGTTTATTCAGAGATCCATTTTTTTTAGATGTCATTGCATTGTGTTAACTCTGTTGCGGAAGAATCAACTTTTTCTAACTTTGGATGTGCCGCAAAACTAGGCTATTTTTACAGACACTAATATGTTAAAAACATTACTAAGCAAATGGGAATATAATCATTTAGTTTTAATTTTTTATTTACGAATTATATTTTAAAAGAACTAAGTTTTTCTTTTTTGATGGATGTGAGTCTTAATCGATTTAAATCAAGCAGGTATACAAAGGATACACTGAAGCGCTGATCCATAAGTCATTATCATTGCGAAAAATATGTATAAATATAGAGACTATTAAATTTTTAAATTATCTTTATATTTAAGTTCACTTTTTAGTTTATCGAAAGTTATACTTATATAATAACATACCAAGTAGAATATGCCTTTTAATATAAAAATCTATACTTATAAAATAATGTTTATAATAAATAACGGGTATATATGCGCTAATTTTGTAATATATATAATAACTTATATTTTTTTGTTAAAAAAAAATTTATTTGTCATTAAAAATAATTTATTTATTTGAATTTATTAATTTTTTTGTTAAAGTTGCGTTAAATTAAAATAAAAAAAAAAACAAAATTAAAGAAAACAAAATAATTTGCAATTTAACAATAGAAGTTATTATTACAAAAGTACCATTAGCCGGATGCGAATTTCTCTTGTTGGTTGCATTTTTCTTAAGCAATCCTTATAATGAAAATTTGTTACTTAAATGGACATAACTTTTTGTTGAATTATTTGTTTTTTATGAAATTTTCACAATTGTAATACTAACTTAAAGCTCTTTCTAATAAATTATATATAATATTTATATATAAAAATAATTTGAAATTTTTACACACGTACCTATTATATATATACATATATAGATCTTAAAATTTTCTTAACGGCTCTTAAAACAACGTTTTTTGAAAATGTATGCTCTTAACCCCTAAATGTGTTCTATATAATAAATACTAGAATTGAAAATTTTTTCAAAATAAATATTTTTAGGGGTAACTCAAGGCCCTTAAACACTTGACAGGTCCCTAATATTATCAAAAAATAAAAAAAGTTCTTGAAATGCAGGGGAGAGTTGCCATAATTGGAACAGCACCTTAATTAAAACACTTGCATTTATTTTTGTAAAAAAAAATGAATAATGGCTATATTTTGCATTTTTTTGGTAAAACGTTTTATTTTCTACATTTTGAAATTTATTACTCAAAAAATGCATATGCACCATTTATTTAAAGTTTTTTTGCAACATTTTTTTTCAGTGATCTAATTTTATGTTCAAACTATATCGATTGCACTGGGCAAACTATACTGCTATAGGTAATATGGTTTTTTGTGTTTAATTCGATGGGATTTATAATGCAAAAGAAAATTTATTTCCAATAAAAGTGCAATGAATTAAGTCAAATTATGGTTAAAAGTATAGTAGGGATGCCTGTTTGTATTAATCAAATCATAAATGTTTTTATATTTAAGCCATCATCAAATATTTATTCATGAAGTGTTCCAACTAAGGCAACTCTCCCCTATATCATGTTGGGTCTCAAAAGAAACGAAATTATATAAAAATTTCAAAAAAAAAATCATCATTTTAAAAAAAAATTCTTGAAAAAAAAAAAACAATAAAATTTTTTGTAAAAAATACAAATTTTTCATTTTTAGTTGAAAATTTTCTAGGCAGTAAAATCAAGAATAATAATTTTTTTATTAAACAAATTTTTCAAGAAATAAATTTTAAATAAACTGAATCTTTTAGTTTGTATAAGTGCTTGTTGTCTGTTATAACAATATTGATCTGTGCTTGCAAGTTAATATTATAAAAAAATTACTTTTAAATTAAAAAATAAAATCAAACATATCTGTAAATTAAAGTTAAACCTATTACAAAAAACCAGCGAGAAAAAAAAAAAAAAATCAGCAATTTTGGATTGACTATTTTTGATCATGAGCTTAAAAGGTTGAATTTAAAAATGTTAGCATCATAAAAGCAACCATCTCTTGAAAAATTAAAATATACTGATTTATTAATCAAGTATCAAAGTTAATCAAACACAAAACCATTAAGTTAATCTATTGTACACAAAACCATTAAGAAAATACCTGCAATGGAATACTTCCTAAACCAATAAACCGCTTTGGATATTTTGCTACTGTTTCGGCCAAGTCATTATTGAACATCTGACAAAGGTCTAGTGTATCTTCAGGTTTAGCCTAATGATGAATTAACAATAAATCTATTTGACAAATTTTACATTATAAAGTTGAAATCAAAAAATTTATAAATTAAAAGAATATATTAACAATATTGCAATAATTAATTGCAGTAAATAACTGAGTTTTTTTGGAGTTAAAATTCACAACCATTGTGAGCCCCATGCTGTCACAGTGGAAAGATCAGGTTTAAGATCGATTTCCTGTTCTAAGCAATTAAAAGGTAATGATAGTCTTTTTGTCAAGACTAGAAAATATAGTTGGGTCAAGACTAGAGAATATAGTTGGATCACCAAAATTAGAGAATATAGCTGGGTCATCAAGATTAGAGAATATAGTTGGGTTATCACCAAATAAAGCTACTTTAGATTGTCAGGAAGATCATTAATATAAATAAAAAACAACATAGGACCAAAGATAGTAGATATCTCAGAAATTACTGGAAATAAAGAGTGTTGGCCTTCATGAAGAAATAAAGAAGAGTGTTGGCCTTCATGAAGAAATGAAGAAGAGTGTTGACCTTCATGAAGAAATGAAGAAGAGTGTTGACCTTCATGAAGAAATGAAGAAGAGTGTTGGCCTTCATGAAGAAATGAAGAAGAGTGTTGACCTTCATGAAGAAATGAAGAAGAGTGTTGGCCTTCATGAAGAAATGAAGAAGAGTGTTGACCTTCATGAAGAAATGAAGAAGAGTGTTGGCCTTCATGAAGAAATGAAGAAGAGTGTTGACCTTCATGAAGAAATGAAGAAGAGTGTTGGCCTTCATGAAGAAATGAAGGGTGTTGGCCTTCAAGGACAACTATAAGATTTTTTTTTTTGCATTAGTAATGTTCAGTAGAAATCAATTTTCAAGACAGATTAAGAAGACTAATTTTGGTTTAATGAATGCGTTTTATAAATAATAAATGCTAAATCTGAAAACGTTTCTAAATTAACCTGAATAAGGCGATAAATAACAATTTAGATATCAAACCTATCACTAAAATGTATCCCTAATGTTTAATGCTTTTTATATCTATTTAAAAAAAATAACTTATAATAAATTTATAATAAAAGCATAAACTTTTTTTTAATCATTTTCAGGTTTTGATTTCATAAGATTCTCACATCTATTTAACTTCAAGTAGTAAAGATCTTCTAACTTGGTCCTAAAGTAAAAGTAAAGTAAAAGTGAAGAATCATGGGATATGAAAGAAACAATGGGTACATTTAACAAAAATTTTATATAAATACTTATTTAGTTATCTATTATTTTATAAGTTTTAAGTTATGCATAAAAATCTTAAAAATGAAAGACTAAATATCAATGATGAATTTATGTTTAATTTAAGCAAGAATATTTTGTCATCAATTCCACTTTTGCGCTCTACCTGATATAGCCGTCAAACAGGTTGATCCATTGCTTGACATTCATATTACTCCAGCTTCTGTATCTAAAGTGATTTCCTGCTTAGACACTTTTACAACTTGTGGCCCAAACAAGCGGAAGTGTTCTCCGGAGCTGTCTTCTATCCTTTCAAAACTATTCAACAAGTGCTTATCAGAGTCTTGTTTTCCAGTCTGCTGGAAAGCAGCATCTGTTATCCCTATTTTCAAAAATTCTGGATAGCGATCTGATGCGTCTAACTACCAACCCATTAGTCGTCATGGGTCTCACAGTAGCTGGTGAACTTAAATTCAGATAAAACTCAATTTTTTTCAGCCAATCATTATTGCAATAATTTAGACCTTCCTATATTTATGAACGGTAATGTACTTGATGAGTCATCTACCCTTTATCTTCTAGGATTAACTCTTACTTCCAATCTTTCTTGGAAACCATATATCAAATCTGTTGCAAAATTAGCATCTGCTAAGGTTGCATCTCTTTATCGAGCTCGACACTATTTTACTCTGCTTTCTATTCTCTATCTCTATAAATCTCAAATCCGGCCTTGTATGGAGTACTGTTGCCATATCTGGGGTGGATCTTCTAATGATACCCTTTACCTTTTAGACAAGGTGCAAAAACACATTATAAACATAGTTGAACCTGCTCTTGCAGCCAACCTTCAACCATTATCATATTGTCGTAATGTTACTTCTCTTTCACTTTTCTAGAAATACTATAATGGTCACTGCTCTAAAGAGCTAGCGCCTCTTGTACCATCTACTAAAATTGATTCTCGTGTTGCTCGTCATTCAATTAAGTCTCATCTTTTTTCTGTGACTGTTCCTTAGTGCTCCAAAAACTTTTATTCCTCAAGTTTTTTTCCTAGAACATCAGTTCTTTGAATTTTGGCTTCCTTTCATGTAATTTGCAATCTTTTAAGTCATCTGTCAATGGTTATCTTGCTCTACAATCTTCATCTTTTCTCTTCCAGTAACTTCCAACTCTAATTAGTGTTTACTTACAGCCTTGTTGAAAGCAAAGATGTTTTTTTTTAAAAAAAAAATGTGACAGCCTTTTAACTAGTTTACTTTAGCCTTTCAACTAACTTACTTTACATTGGTTTGCTGTATTTGTTGTTGTTGTTTTTTCTTTTGTAACTCTGGAATTATCTACCACTGTACCATAAGAAATATTATTCAAAAAATACTGAAATACAATATAAAATACTCACCCAATAACTAAACATAACTGGTACAGTGGAGAGAACTTGAACAGCAACACCTAGATAGAAATAAATATATATATATATATATATATATATATATATATATATATATAATTAATAATACTGAACTTAATAGTAGTGCGCTTTTGAGCCTGTTTGACACGATACTCTTGGCAACCATGGCATCCAAGGTAGTGACGAGAAAGAGTCTCACCTTTGCTTTATGAGAAAACGTGAGCAAACGTGAAACTTATATCGTACATACCTAAACTTCATGTTATGTAATGTTAAAACATGCTTAAACATATATCAAGTTCTACAGTTTAATTATCACTCAAGAACTGCATTACATCAACCTCTTCTTAATTTCTGATCTTTAGCATTTATATCCGTTAAAAACAATTATATATAATTTCAAATTTTCGTCACTTAACGTGTCAGCGTAGTCGAGTGGTTAGGGCGCTGAGCTTCAGAACAAGATAGCCGTGGTTTGAGTCCTACCATCAGCACTTTCTTTTTTAATTTTTTTGCGTATGTGTCATTATTTAGATACTTATGTTATTTTAGTTAAACTTTTTAAGTTTATTTACAACTAAATTGAGTTTTTGCAAGGAAAATTAGTAAAAAACATATTTATATATAGAATATAAGATCTATATAACTTTTGATTTGCATTTTAAACAACAAAACCGCGTGGCAAGCCAATGAACTTGAAATGCGGCAACCTTAACTTTTTTTAAAAACGGTAAGGGGGTTTAAAGGGGGTTTTTCTTAAGATCATAATTAAAAATTTTAATTTTAATTTTAAACTAAAATATTTTATAAAATTTATTGTTTCTAAAAATAATTAAAAGTTAAAACTATTTAATATTAACATAATAAGGAAATTTAGAGATTTACAGCTATTTATCAACGCCCCTGTTAAACACTCTTAACCGAGAGCGCATCAATTACTTTGATGACTTAAATAACATGAGATGCACGAGGTACAGTAGATGTGCACGCGATAAGTATTTAAATTGCTTTTTAAACTATCTAATCTCTAAATATCTTTGCATATCTCTTTAATCATTATCGTAAAACTATAATTATTGAATATACTTTTATTTATGAATTTTATTTATAATTGTATTTTTTAATTTTTAATCTGTTTTTATAGCTACTAAAATTTGACTTTTTAATGTTTTAGTTAATGAAACATGTTCTGTTTTGTGGGTGATGTGTAGAAATTGTTTCTCAACAAGCTGTTGATTTTATAGAAGCTGAAGATGAACTTATTTTAGGTGTAAGTAAATTGTTTTTTATTTTTTATTGCTTTTTTTTGTTAGATACTCAAACATGTTTTACATTAATCTAATTATTTAGTACAGTGTTATTGTTTAGTGGTGATATTTATGTTAGATTTTATTAAGTTGAATTTACTTTATAAAATCTTTCAAATTTACTTTTTTAGTTCCTAATTATTTAAATATTAAATAACAATATTTATGTGATTGTTATTTTAATTATAGTCTCATAGCTTATCATATATTGTAAGTTTTAAATTTGAATTTCTGAAGTTTTAAAGTTTGTATTTATTTTAATGTAATGAAAATGTAATTGATTTATATAAATTTAATGTAATGAAAATGTAATTGATAAATAAAAATGTTTTTGATTTTCTAAGTTTTTGTGAAATAGCAGTTCGTATTTTTCTGTCCAACGACATGGGTTTCAAAGTGGAGGGGGGCACAATAGTCAAATTCTAAATAAAGTCTTCTATATCTAGAATAGGCAATAAGATTTTCCCTCTATTAAAGGGAAGGAATTACCGTTATCTAAAGTCCAGTTTGAGAAGTTATAGTGGGCAGCGGAAAATACATAACTACATCTACAAATAAAAAGAGGTATGTTAATGTATTTAGTTTTATATGTATATTTTTATTGATCTATTTTTTAAGTTTTATTTGTAAATAAATATACTCTTTCAAAAACATAATTTTTTTTTTCTTTTAATATTAATTTAGTTAAAAATTGAGTTACATTTACGTTTGTTGAAAGTTGTTTATTTTGTTTTTACACTAAATATCATTAAAATTTAAGTCAACAAAACATGCAAAATTTTAGAATGATTCAAGAACTGCTGTGACAGTGTTTATGATTCTCCATGTCAAAATAATATATTTTAAAATTTTCTGAATAATTAATTTTCATAATCACCGGTTATTGCAGGTATTTATAGGTTTATTAATTACTTGCAATATAAAAGAACTTTAATGACCTTTAAAAAATGTAATAAACTTATTATGTAAGAATTGTTCTTTATCAATGTGTCTTTATCTGTTCAAGAAAATTTATTGTTGTTATTAAAATAAATTAAAAGAAAATATTATTGTTGTTATTAAATTGTTTTTAATTAAAAGGATCATAATTAAGAAAAAATTAACGTTTTAATAACTTTTTTTTTATATTTAGTTCGATTTAACAATTTTACCTTCATTATCTTGTGAAGGTAGAGTTATTTTTTTTATGTTTTTAACTGCAAGTATTATGTATTAAAAATATTTTAGATTTAGTTGTAATTTTATTTCTTTAGTTCTACTTTAATGCTCTACAGACTATTATATGTTTGTCGACTGTTAAAATATGGTTTTAACTTAATAAAATATGGTTTTAACTAAGTAAGCTTTAATTATTTTAAGTTTACTATGTTGATCATTAGCTAATAGTTTAAATAAAAGTTAGTTTTTTTTGCAAACAAGGTAAGAATAATTTTAATTTCTGCTTGAATAACATTTTTTTTGTTTTTTTAGTTACAAGAAATTTTTATCAGTTACACATAAAGTATTTTTTTCTTACAGGTTTTGATTGTTTAATCAGCAACAGGTTAATTGGTTTGCAGTGTTACTTTGCCTTTTTTACTTTTTTCATGTCATTACTTAATTTTGTTTCATTTTAGACATCTTACAATGTTTTTTAAGCATTTTGCAGAACGAATAAAGGGGCCATATCTCACAAGGTGTGGGTTCAAATTTAGGGCTAAAGCATCACCCACCTCTTTATATATATGTATGTATGTTGAGGAGGAGAGTGAATAGTAGATTAAAAAACGCAATTTATATTAGTATTATATATTTATATTAGTATTTATGTTATAGTATTCTACCAAATGAACTAAATATTGGTTAATCTACCAATCCTTTATTGATAATGCAAATTTAGTCAAATTTTTTTTTGTAAACACACTTTTTTTTAAATATTTCGTTTTGTTATCATATATTTCATATATATGTTTTGTTATTATATATTTTGTTTTGTTATTATATATAGATAAATTGATTTCCAGTTAATACATTAATTACATTAATACAATACAGATTATTTTTTATTCCTTTAAAACATGCCAAAAGCAGTTAAAGGGCTTTGTGTGGGTTCAAATCCTTTTGTTTACACTTTCGTTGTGTTGTTTTGTGTTGATAGATTAGATGACTTGGTTTACTTTCATGTTGGGGTCTTTACTTTAAAAAGATTATTGGGTAGGATATGTATTGGATCATTAGGTTGAATTTTTTAGTTTGATCATTTATTTTTATTTGTATTTATTGGAATTAAAAATATTTTAGCCTTGCTTTTTTAAAAAGAGTTGTTAATCCAAATTTGCAACAGTAAATCTTTCACAAAAGATTAACAACCTCGCTAAGTAAGTTTCTTATTTGTTATCTGTTTAGTCACATTTTTGAGTTTTCAAATAAATAAATAATAAATGTGTATTGAGTGTATTCAATAATAATTTTGTTCCATTTTTAGGTCGAATTCCTTCTCCTATGACTCATTTTGAATGTTCCTACATAGTAGAATTTAAGAAATGTTCTGAATGTTGATTGTTTTCAAAAAGCTAAAACGAAGCTTGATAATCTCCATACCATATAATAAAAGATATATAATAATGAAAGAATGTTTAAAATTAAATTGTATTTATTGTAATTAAAAGTATTTTTGAATATACATTTTTTTTTGTAGTTTTTCTTTAAAGTTATCTTTTTATTTTATCTCAAGAAAACCTTTTAGTTGCTCAAATAAGTTTCTATGTTTTTTATCTTTGGAATTTTGGAGTTTTAGATATATTGGCTATTTTCGCTTTGTTTTTTTATATTTCCATTAACTTTTTATATGTATATGGAAACCATTTACACTTTTATCACCCTTTGTACTATCAGGACAGTTTTCATTTGCATTGAGTCTCGATCGCACAAACAATAGGTTTAAAAATTTATTTGCCTAATTCCACAGTAAAAACATTGTATGAATTTGTTAAGTGTTTTTTTACAAAAAGGCTTTTATAAAAAATACCAAGCAGATAAAGCTAACTTAATTGAAATAACTAGGCCTCTTTGGCCCTTTTTTCAACGTCCAAATTTGCTTTTTAAACAAATCCTTATGAGAGAGTTAAAATATTATCATACCATAAGTTTCCAAAAATACCTGAAGAATTGATAGGCAACTGTCTTATATGCTAAAGATAGTTTTATTATTTTTTAATGTAGAAAATATTATTGTAATAATTAAAAATAATAAATAATTCTTAAGTATACTAAATTAAAAATTAACCAGAAGCCAAGAACTTCAGGTAGTCAGTAAAATGCAAACTGCATACTTTTTAGCAAACCAATAAATTTTAATGAGCACAACAGTCATAATACTTTAAACATTTGCTCATCAATTTTTTAAACTACATATAATGTAATTTAAATAATATTCGATCTAATTTATTTAAATTTTATTAATATTAATTTATTATATTAATAAAATTTAAATAAATTAGATCGAATATTATTTAAATTACATTATATGTAGTTTAAAAAATTGATGAGCAAATGTTTAAAGTATTATGACTGTTGTGCTCATTAAAATTTATTGGTTTGCTAAAAAGTATGCAGTTTGCATTTTACTGACTATCTGAAGTTCTTGGCTTCTGGTTAATTTTTAATTTAGTATACTTAAGAATTATTTATTACTTTTAATTATTACAATAATATTTTCTACATTAAAAAATAATAAAACTATCTTTATATACTTA